AAAGAGGAGGATTTGACGCAGGAAGAGAATGCAAGTGAGGACGAAGGGTCTGATAAAAGCGTATATGAAGAAGATGAGGATGTTGAAGAAGACTTAGAATCAGACGGAGAGGGAAGTAAGAGGGAAGAACAAAATGAAGGTTCTAAAGCGCTTTTACTTTTTCAAGAGGAAGGTGTGCATCAACGGGACCTGAGGAGCCAACAGTCATCAGCCAAAGAGAAGCAAGCCGTGGCAGGGAGCATTGAGCCGAGTCCGGACAAACAAGCCCATCGAAGGGCCAAGGAGGAGACCGAGTTGGATGGGCCTGACATGGTAGTCAAACCCGTAATAAGTCTGCAACAGTTCTTGGCCAGCCACGAGGTGGGTGGAAAAATAAAATTTTTCTTGCATACTCTGCTATTCCTACTGCCTTTTGTGTGCATTCTTGTCTCGTGATAGGGCATTTGTGTGCATAGCCCAAGCTGAATTATAAGCTAAAATGAAAACTTTTACTCGAAGGTATGAACACCAAGATGGTGTGGCCTTTTGTGTGGTCACAGTTTTTTAATCACTTTTAATCATACGCTAAGGTCTCCACGGGAAGATATCCCACTTGTGTCATATCAGGCATCGCCTTATGCTGATATATGCATGAACTCTGCCATGTTACAGAGTTGGGATGCAAGAATGGCTGACAAAAAGGCTTGGCAGATCGATTTTTCATGTAATCCCTTACATACAGGATAAACAACAGCAATAACTCGACCAAGAGTTTTCTATAGATATTATTAGATGGCCCTGTAAATATCGAATTTATTTTTTATTTTTGCTTCATTTTCTTTGCATAACCTTGGAAAATGTGCACTTTATTAGACATTATCTACCACATAAAGTCATATTCGTAAGAGCTCTCTAGTTTGTGTCCAGCTGTTGGGCCAACTCAAGGCTACTTCGTGCTGATGACTCCGTTACGAGAAGTACTCTTCTGCTGCAAGAGCAAAGGCAAGGTGACCTCTTCCAGCTGGCTTCGAAACTTGACGGCCAGACTTGCAACCAAGGGCCTGTTAAAGTTTATCTACCTTATTACAGTTAAGCCCGTATCTGCATTTTCACTGCATTCTTATAACCACTTCTGGTGTACACAGTCAAGAGCACCTTTCAACGGAAGTGAAATGAGGCGTCTCGAGGGCTGCGTCAATTTGTGAGTCGCAGTGAAAACATACAAAAGGCCAAGAGGAGTTCGCTACCATTTTCTGGTGCGATCAATACAAGAGTGTCTTCAATACACTTTAATGCAATATGAAAGTGTGCTAAGCATTGCTTACAATCATGAACAACTTTAGTGTGTACAGAGAGACGGAACACAACCCAGAGCCTATGGGTTGGGTGGCCAAAATTTCTCAACACAGAGGTCATGAAAAGCATCTCCATTAGACTAATTCCCACAAAACATTTTGCATTATTTTTCGCTTATAAGTAGGGTTTCGAGACTGCCAGTAAATCATTCATGCGAGATGTACTCATCCTATTTCTTATAAGGACCGGTAATTGAATTTTCTCACAATAATATAAGTAGCTTTGACGTTCCCATTGATTTCACATAGTCCTGATTTCCCAAAAGGTCT